TTACCTAATGTTTAATACTACAGAACTGTCCTCAAAAAGTTTGTAAATTTTCAAGGCTATAAGGAAAAGTAGAAGGACTCTTATTTCTGTATTTATCATTTACTTTCTGTATATATAGTTTAATAACCTGCTTGGGTGTAATTTGCCAAGCTTGAATTCTTTAATGCATTTGCATAAATTCTCCACTGTTTAGAGCTTAAAGCTACAGAAGCATTGTTAGAATAGCTTGGACATTGAATTTTCAACTTTTTGACATTGTTAAATAAGCATGTTCATCTTTTCTTGTCACTAGTTCAAGAAAAATATGCTTAATATATACTACTAAAGGCTACTTGTGTGTTAACCTGTTTTAATGCCAAAAGTTTGCTATTTGTTCACATTTTCCTTAAGAACTCTTCTGAAAAGGGTTTGTTTGCCTTAACGAATACTGTTGTGTAAAAACAGTATAATGAGCGGAAAGGGCAGAAGAAAACCCTACATCTCAGCTACTCCAAGAAGAATGACTATCCACACCTAGATGGCGCATTATGAGGACTTGTCTTTCCTTAAACACAATGATGTTTTCTTTTTCTTTCACTGACATGATTTCTCAGTGCATTTTTCATGCAGGACAGTTTCTCAACCTTGATGTACAGTGACTGTAAAATTTTTCTTTCAGTGGCAATGTATAATCTTTAAGAGATGGTAAGCATCTTGTCTGTTTTGAAGGGAATATGACAATAAATCTACTGGATGGAATATCCTGTTAAAAAAGTAGAAAAGCTTTAGTAATCTACGCAGTGTGATGGTTTTATCCTTTTTTTCTTTTTCTCCCTTGGTCTGTAATGAAATTGTTATAGCAGTGCAAAACTACATAGTGAGACCCTGTCTTTAAAAAAAGGAAGATATATCAAGTCTCAGGAGCAGGCTGAGGTTACAACTCGACAGGGCGGGACGTTCAAGAAAGGAAGAAGACAGAGGTGCGATGTCTGTGCTGAGGATGTCGGGAACTCAACGGGGCTGTGGCGACTGGGAGGAGAACGGCGAGCCATTGGAGGGAAACCTGAACGGCTTTCGGGAGGTCTGTGTGGAGCATTAGGGTTACCAGAGGGGTTGCGTGAAGATGCGGTAAAAAGAGGCGAAGGGTTGTACTCCAGCCTGGGGTTCTAAGGAGGCTGGAGGGGTCCCAGTGGGCTGTATTTCCTCAAGGCCAGCGCGGAGTGGATGGGGTCAGGGCTGAGGTCGGGTCAAAGAGAAGATGGAGGACCGAACAGCAGGCCCAATGGGCGCAAGGCAACCAGGGTCTGGAGCCAGCGCGAGGGAGGGAGGCCCACCGTCTGCGTCAGCCCCTCTGCCCTGCACTGTTCCTCACCTAAGGCGGTTAGAGAGTCGGAACAGAGAGAGTGACCTTGACACCTTCCAGCCATTAAAAACGTTTAACATATCCTCGTGACTAACGACAACGCGGAGGCTCTGTCGTTCTGGCCCCGCCCCCAAACCGTGGAGCCAATCGTGGTCCCGGGGGAGCCGTGGGCGGGACCAGCTGCTCCCAGAGGCCCTGGGCCTTGGTAGAGTGCTATGGGCTGCGTAGCCCTAGACACCAGCCAGGACCTGGAGTCCAGTCTCAGCCCACCCTCACCTCCTTGGGCTGGCTGTGCTCTTCTGTACCGTCTGCCTCTGGCACTTATGCGGCAGATCAGATCTTGGCTTCTGGATCCATGCCCTTGCTCAGCCTGAGCAGCCTGTGTGACTTGGGGGCCGCCACTTCACTTCCCTCAGTTGATGATTGTCCACTTGTGAGTGGCAGCAATAGCACCTGCTGGATCTTTGCCTCCCGAGGACATGAGCACAGCCTCGTGGGCAGAGCTTGGATCCACGCTGGAGCCAGGAAAACACATACCCGTTTTCACTGCCCTTTATTACCATGTGACCAGCTCAAGGTGCCCTTGGGGACTCTCCTGTGTGTAACTATGGAGAGCATTGTAAAGGAACACAACATGAGCACAGCCATATTGACCTGTGATTCACCCGAGCAGTGTGGACGTGCCATCGCCCATAGCAATGGGCTAGTTCAACTGGTGGTCTGATCTGTTGAACGGTTTACTGGTGCAAATGTAACGGTTTAACGGTTTCCTTCCGGAATGTGTGGGCGGAGCTCTCTAACAGCCACGCAGCTGGAGAGTATAAAAGGAGAGGTTTGGTAATAAAGCAGCAGCAGCAAGTAACATGAGAAGAAAAGTGCCTCCCATCTCTCTGTCCTCGTCCTTTCAGATTTAGGACCTGCTGGCAGGATCCTGACGTCGCGGCTCGCGACATGTAACTCGCCATTCAGCCCCGATTTCTTCTACTCTTTGTAGTTTTTTCTTTCCATCCTAAACAAATGTCTTTCCATCCTAAACAAATGTCAAAAGTACCAACTGTGTCACTGAAGGGCAGGTGTCGCTGGGTCAGCAGTGACTGTGCTTTGGGCATTTACCATTGCGGGCTTTGGTTGAGTGGGAGCCCAGGGCCTGAATGTGGACCACAGTAGGGTGGAAGAGGTACGTGCAGGTCCTAAGGGTGCACATGAGGGCTGGGAACAGGCCAGTGCTGGGATGTGACCTCCACTGAGCTTGGCCACGGGTCCTCTTTCCCTTGATCTCTGGGCAAGGGTGGAGTCCCTATCTCCACAACAGTTGGGAGCCCTGTGCCTGCTTCCATTTATACAACTTGCTATTGGGTGTATGGCCTTGTACCAAAGACTTTCGGGATACTTTATTGAAAACACTGACTCTTCACACGGGGCTGCACCTGTCCAATGAGCGACTAAAAGCAGGGTTACAAACTTGGTACCTCTGCCTTTGAGTCACTCTGTCTGGCAGTCCCCTTGGACTCTAGGGATCACAGTTCTGATCCATGAACATCTCGGGAGGAGTGGAAACTACCCACAGGCAACAGCACCTTCCTTATCACTGCTTTAGACAGGGGCACCCTGACCAGTCCTGAGGTGATGACCAGCCAGACCACCTTTGCCTAAGACTGCTTGATTTTGCACACTTCTGTCTCCCTCATCTCTGTAACCTGGGAGCTCATGTCAACCCTCAAAGACAGGGCTAAAAACACTGGTCCCTTTGTCATCCCAATGAGTTATACACCAGGAACATGCCACCAGATCAAGCCCTCAGTACCCCTCAGTTATCCCACTGAATTGTTGCTTCCACTGAATTTTGAGGCTGTGGGAAGTCCCTGAGAACAATTTCTTGTCTGTTTCTCAAGAGTCCCTGCCTCTTGGTCTCTTACTTTCCAGGCCCCGCTCTCTGAAGCCTGCAGGCTTGTCTGTCTCACACTGCTCTCCACACTTTTGTGAGGCTACTAAAGGCGTGGGTCCTAGGGTGGGCTGGTGTAGCACAGGTCAGAGACATGAACAAATGCTCACACGTACTGCACATTTCTAGGAACACTTTCACACCAGGTAGACTCCAGATGGGAAACAAAATCTCCTGTTACTGTGTGACTTGGAAAATAGTAAAAGCACCTGTAAAGTGCTACGGGGGCAGAGGGGAGAACTGGAGAGGTTTCAGGTTCACAGCATCTGTGAACATGTGCAGCATTGTTGAGTTTGGGCTTATGTGGCGAGCCGCGACATCAGGATCCTGCCAGCAGGTCCTAAACCTGAAAGGACGAGGACAGAGAGATGGGAGGCACTTTTCTTCTCATGGTTCTTCTGTACTGCTTTATTACTAAACCTCCTTTTATACTCTCCAACCAGCTGCTGCCCACACATTCCGGGAGGAAACCGTTACCAACTGCCACCCACACATTCCGGGAGGAAACCGTTACCAACTGCCGCCCACACATTCCGGGAGGAAACCGTTACATTTCCTAACCACCGGTTGAACTAGCCTGTTGCTATGGGCGACGGCACGTCCACACTGCTCGGGTGAATCACAGGTCAATATGGCTGTGCTCCCCATAGGCTTACGTGTTGTTTCAGTCCAGCTTCAGTCTTTGATCCTCCAGCCCTCCTACTCCCGCCTCATGCAGCCCGCCACAGCCCTCTGTCTTCTGGGAACAGACCCTTCTTCTGGCTTGACTTTGGGCTGAGCCTCCTTCATACCCTGTGATTCTGTTGGGTTTGGATTCCTGGTTTCATTGTCCCAGAAAGTGCACACATGACCATGGCTGGCCCATCAGAGCTAGTAAGAGGATTTCTCTGACTTATTTCCTTCAATGCTGTGTAGAGTGAGAATTACTGCTGCCCATCTTGCAGACATGGGGCCTGGTCCTGCCACCACAGCACCCAGCACAGGGGAAAGTGCAGCTGAGAGGTAGACAGGGACAGGTTGCTGGATGTGGTCAGACCTTATGCTGTAGGGCTGTTTACTGTTAAAGTATGATTTTTAGTTGGGATATAAAGAGTGCTAACAAACCTAAGTTTGAACTTGGACAAATCATCTACTCCTCAGCCTCAGTTTCCTTACCTATTAATTGGAAGAATAAGATCTACTTCCCAGACAGCTGTAAGATTTAAATGAGATAGCACACACATGCATGCACAGGTGCACGCACGCGCACACACACACACACACACAGTGTATAATTGCTATTAGTGATATAATTAGCATTAGTGGAGGACACAAGATTTATGTGCTCTGTACACATGTACTCAGAGTCCCCCAGTCTTGATGGACTCTTTATTATGGCTGTGACTAGATGTCCCCCCAAGGTCTCATGGGTCACAGGTGGGGCTTTTGCAGAAGTGGCTGGAATTGATTCAAGACAGGCCTTGACCCCTGAGTGCAGTAGGCTCAGTGATCGAAATATTCTGGTGATCCCAACACCCTGGGAGAGGGTCCAGAAAGTACATAGGTGGACAATCCCCTGTGGGCCGGAGGCCAAGTATGCAGGGAATGACTGGCTCATTCTTTTTGGTGGTAGTGGGAATAGAGCCACAGACCTTCACACTGAGCTACACTCCCAGCCTTAGTTTATTTTTGGTTATGAGACAGGGTCTCATTGAGTTACTAAGTTGCCCAGGTTGGGCTCAAACTTGTGATCCTCCCAGAGTGCTTGGGGCTACAGGGACGAGCCACTCTCTACCAATGCAAAACTGGTTCTTGAAAAAGCAGAGGAAAGTGGACCAGAGCAATGGGCATTTGATGGAGAATCCTGGTCACGAAGGATCTGAGCTTTAGTCCCAGTACTTTTTGCCCATGCTCTTGCTCTGTGCACAGACATATTTAACTATTTACATTTTAATTTCTGAACACATAACTAAAAGTGGTTTTGAATTTTGTACATTTTAATGTAAAAAAATCACTACATCAGTACATAGGAGCGCTGCTAGAGCAGGACAGGCTCAGTCGATGATGACCTCTTCCAGTGCTCCACTTTCCCCATCCTCAAAGGGCAGCTCTGTTAGTGCCATTTCTGTGATGACTTCACAGAACTGCCTGGAGAACAATGCAAAAAAAAATGAAGCTGTCCCTGACCCCTTTCGAGTCAGGAATTTTAAGTCATCCCTGGCCACTTACCGTGTATCCCTTGTGAAAATTTTCTCTTCATCAGAAGAGTCCTTGTCATGTAGCATAGCCGCCAGGTATTTTACGCGGGAGGCGCTGATAGGTCTGTGCATGTCCCTAAGCCAGAGTGGCAAACCACACCCCGGGACGCCCTCCTGGAAAACAGACGGGGACTTAGGACTTCTGCTTTCCCCTGCCTCTTCCTCCCCAGCACCCAGTCCTCCTCAAATTTACCTCATTTTCATTTTCTCTGTTGCATCTCCCATGCCAGTGCTGGGAAGAGCCCCTTGTAGAAAACACATGTGCGAGACAATTAGTGATTGGAGTGATTTTTCACCTCTCAAGCTGCACACCTCAGGTCTCATTAGGACAAAACCTGTACCTAGGTCCATAATCACAGTGAGCAAGTTCTCCCCAGACCTGGGGTCCTGAAAACAACTCCACAATGCTGGGCTTTCAGAGGCTCCGGCTGTTACTGGGGGCCTCATGTTAGCACGTCCTGGCACAGCCGGACACAGGCGGGGGTATCAGTCCCACTTACACCATGGTCAGGTACCTCGTGCAGTGAACAAATTGCATGACCATACCGAGCGGAAGTGTTTCACTCTGTCCAGAGCCTTTCTCATCAGTCCACGCACACCGAGTCCCACAGCAGGCCCTCACTGGGGAAGAACTAGAAGGTGCTTCTATTTTCCTAGCTGTTTTATCCTAAGTCAGCACACCAAGCAAATACCCAACTCCAATTAGTAAAGTTGTACAGTTCAGAGATTTTCATAGTGAGGGCTGTCACTGATGAGTGAGTTGAGAGATCAGTTTAAAGGACACCATTCACCCTCAAATACAAGATGTCCTTTTGGAGCCATATGTGGTGTACACACTGGTAATCCCAGCATTCTGGGAAGCTGAGGCAGGAAGGTGGCAAGTTCAAGAGCACCCTGGGCAACTTGGCAAGATCCTGTCTCGAAAAACAAAAGCAGAAACAAAAAAAAACACAACAGATTTAAGAAAAAAGGTGGGATGGTGCTTGGTGCAAAGGCTCTGGGTTCAATCTCCAGCACGAGAGAAAGCGAGGGAGGGAGCAGGAGAATATGGATGAATCTGAATCCTGAGTAAAAGGACTAGAGGATGACAAGGTAACCGGAAGCTTGCGAAGATGCACTTCCGCCCCTCTGAGGAAGGATGCCTACTCCTCCTTCCAACAACCCCAGCCTAGCTCCTGAGTCTCCAGGAAGGCCTTTGGCTGTGCCTGAGCTCTCCACTGCAGGAGCAGGCGTGCCCAACCTATGGCCTCCACCCTCCGCACTGGATGCCTGGTGACAGCAGGTGCCTCCGCACTTGACCGGCCATCCCGGCTTTGCTGGAGCCAAGTGAAACCCCAGAGAAAGGAAAGATTCTTCTGCCACAAGTGGGCTCCACACTGTGACATCCAGGGATTTAAATAGATGGGTTCTAAGTTCGCCTCTAGTTCTAGTCCTAGATATTGAATGATCCAAAGGCTTGTATTTACCTTGGGGCCCCTTCTTCACTCTCCTCTGGAGCTCTTCTTTGGGTATAAATCTGTTTGGGAAGAAGACACAGTTGTGAGTATCCACCGACATCTCTTAAATTTTAGTCCTTTTATTTATTTTTATGTATTTATTTATCCAAGGCACCTTGCTTGGAGTCATGCGTGCAGTTAGAACTTAAAAAATCTAATACTGGGGATTGAAATCAGGGCCTTTGCCCTGAGACAGACATATATAGAGATATTGCTAGATGGAGCTAGAAATGGAGCTAGACATTGATATGAAAATTTTCTTCAGACAAGGTCTTGCTGAGGTGCTAAAATGCCCAGGCTATGCTTGACTTTGCAATCCTCCTGCCTCAGCCTCCCACCTCCCACAGTGCTGGGATTTTGGGCATATGCCGCCAATCCCAGCCATTTATAGTGATGCCTTGGTTCACACACTTAATTTCTTCTTCAATTCTGGCCTGAGAATTTGTTCTGCGGTTCTGGTTACAACTGAATTTTAAGAGTATGACCCCATGTTGGCCCTGCTTCTGGTACTCAGAAATTAGACTCTGCTCTCACCAAGAGACAACTCACTCCTTCCTTTTGGAGCAGTCTTACCTTATCAGTATCATGGGACTGACCCCAAAGCAGATTGCCAGATAATGACCTGAGGAGAAAGACTTCTGTCCCAGAGACAGCACACCTGTCTGCACCTTCAGGGAATGACCTCACTATAGGGAGACGTCTGGGAGGCACAGCCAGGCACAAAAGGAGGCCTTGGTGAGAGCAGAATTGGAACAAAGGGATCAGCTGAATCCAGCATGTCATAGAAAGGGCCGAGGAGGGCAAATCCACACCACCCCCCAAACACACAGGGGTGGCCTCACCAGCAGAAATGACTTCACATCTGCTGCCCAGGTTTCATAACTATCCTTACCCAATGTTAGAATGGGCACAGCCCATGCTGGCTCCTACCTCGCCTTTTTACGCTTGTACTCCTGACCAGCCCTTCTTGGAATAGACATATTTTCCTATTGAGTTCCACTCAAGTCTGATATACCAGGAAGCCATCTGGTCCTTACACATCTGCACTCTGCTCTGGTGTGTATTTTGTTGTTTTCTGGTTTTAGTTTTTGCCTTGCAATGTAGTCCAGGCTGACCCTGAACTCACTGTGTGGCCCAGGCTGGCTTTGACCTCATAGTGATCCTTCTGCCTCAGCCTCCCAAATGCTAGGATCACAGGTTGCAGCACCACACCCGGCTTTAGTACATGCTTCCCTCTTGGATATCTGTCTTTTAAAAAACTTCTACATTTTTAGTTATTGGAGTAAGTAAGTATTATTTATACCTCACTGTGGCTTTAAGCTTTAAGAAATGGACACAAATCTCTTAAGAGGGGACTAGGCTCATGACAGCCAGGGGATTCAGGGAAGGCTTCACGAAGAAAGACAAGCTTGAGTTGATTTTTGATACATTCATGGCACTTCCACAGGCAGGTGAAGTGAGGGGATTTTAGATAGAGGCACAGACAAACATAGGAATGGGCATGGTAGGACTCGGGCACGGAGAGGGACTGCTTTGGCTGGAACTGAAGGCTGCCTGACTGTGGGAAAGGTAAATTATTAGGTGATTGAACTGGAAGGAGGAAAAGGTTTGTCAACTTATGAAATTACCCTTTAATAGTCTCGTAAATAAAAAGTAAAAGGAGCAAACCATTATGAAATCAGGAAAAAGGTAAACGGAGGCGAGCTCCAGCAACAGGTTACTGTAAGTAGGACCTGCCGTGGGAACCCTGACAAAAGGCTCAGCGGCAGTGCTGCAGCTGAACCTATTAGACAATGCCTCACGCACTAGAGGAGGTGGCAGCTGCAGAAAGCTAAGGAATCTACAAGATGGACTTCTGTCTTGTGGCCTTGTCCTTTCTCCCCAGGGGGATGACAGCTCCTTGATCATAGAATGAATACGAGATCAGTGAGGACATCAAACTGCTGATATAGGAAATTTTCTTTCATGCCAATTCTGGCCCTCAGAATTAACTTCTCTAAGTAGTCAAATGGCCTGTTATCTTGATTTCAATTCCTCAGGGATCTCCTGGGAGTGGGGTTCCTTTAAAAATCCCTAGAAAACACCGGGCACGGTGATGAGCACCTGTAATCCCAGCACTCGAGAGGCTGAAGCAAGAGGATGGCCTTGAGTTGGAGCCCAGCCTGGGCTACACAATGAACGCAAGGCCAGTCTGAACTACATAGCGAGACCTTGTCTCAAAAAACCAAATCCCTGGAAATATTTCAATAAAAGAACAAAGAATAGTTCAATGTCAGTTACTAAAGAAGGATGTCAAATAGGAGAGAGCAAAGTGGCTTGGAGTTTTAGTTCATGAGTTCCCCGTCTATTATAAAAACAAGATGCATTCAGGAAACCTGAACCAATTTTTATCCTTACCTTAAAGAGACACAAAATTAGCATAAAAATCATCACTCCTCCCATCACAGACAAGGGCAAGATCAGTTTGAAATAGTTAACTCCTGGAACTTCTGTGAGCTACAAAACAATAATAATATTTTTTGTTAAGTGACACAGAGAAAGGCAGGGTGAAAGCTGATTATTTGAATCCAGTTCTTCCAGCTGAATAGCTTACAGGTTCTTAAAAACATACCAAATGGAATGTGTTACAAATATTATGGGGGCCAGGGATTTAGCTCAGTGGTTCCAGTGCCTGCTTTGCAAGCTCAGGGACCCGAGTTTGATCCCTGATAACAAACAAAAACAAATATTATTATGGGTGTCCTTCTCTAGTTTGTTTATCTTGTGTGTCCAGTCAGCTTTGTTTTCTTAAGGAGAAAGTTAAGCTTCACTGTCCTGGCCAAAGTTATGTGGCCAAGACAAAATACAGATGAGGAGCCCCTGGTCCTCCTGCTTGGGTGCTTTGTGGCAGACCCTCATGTTGGGCAGTTGTCCTCACCTGCCTCGACTCCTGCTCCTCCTGCTCTTCACCCTGGCCTGCTGCGCTGTCACTGATAAGAGTTCTCACTTTTCCAGTGGTCTCCATCCCACTGGGCCATGGGCATACTAACATTTTGCTGCTTACTGAGAAGCTTCATCAGGAGGCCCATTTTAGAGATGAGCTTGGCACAGGCCAGTTGCACGTGAGCTTCAGAGCAGTCCATCTTTAAAGTCAAGATGACTTGGGAAATCAGCCTTCTTATGTCATGGTTTGGGATAAATGGCTGGAGTTGTTGGTTTAGGTAAGTTTCGAACTGATCACCTGGGAATGACAGCAAGAGAGAAGCAAAGTCTTTGTGGGGTGTCTCAGTGAATGTGTTGAGGTGTACCCATTGTGCCTTCCTGGTCTAGTGCACACCGGGCATTGGGTTGAATGCAATCACAGCAGAGTCTGCAACGGAAGGATTCTTGTGAGTTGTCTTTTCAGAGAGATTTTCTTCTGGCACATTAACGTTTAGTGCAAAATCCTCTCCTGGAAAATCATCTAGGGCATGGTTCTCTACAGGAGCGTGTTCCACTGAAGCACCTAAAGGAGCATATAATTCGGAGACAAGAGTCTTCTGAAAATCCAGGTCTCCTGAAGATGAGAACCGTCTTGAAGGGGAATTGACAAGGCTCCTCACTGCTGAAAACTGAGGCCTCTGTATAAGCATTAGTCTACTGTGTGTGTTTTCCTTTCTCAACCGTTCTCTCAGTTTGGCCTTGGGTGTTCTGTGGGCCATGAGAGATTGAAATTTGTGAAAGCGGTGGACTTTTCCAGAATGTAACATTCGTTTAGGATCCTTCATGGTTTTAACTCTAGATTTTGCATTTTCTAAAATGAAAATGCTATGAGTAAAATCATTTCTTCTGTTTCTCCCAAGGACCTTCTTCACTCTTTGAAGCCTTTTCCTTCCACGCCAAATCTCTGCCAGGCTGTTTTCCTGTGCTTGAGCACTTTCCCACTTCTTTGGAAAGATTTGGCGCCTGAATTTGGGACCAAAAAGGCTAGACTGCATAAGCAGGGCAGTTTTGTCTTTTTTTTCACCTTATCTACTTTTTCTTGAATTTCTGCATCAAAAATATTCTGCAGAAAATATAGCTTATTCAGTTTACTTGTGAAAGATGAACTGTTGGATGCAGGCAGAAAAGAAGAGTTCCTTGTGTTGTTTTTCCGATAACCCAGGGAATTGTGTCTATCTTGTACTTTTGAAAAAAGCAGCTACAAGAATGGTAATAATGTTGACTCTGCACCTTCTAGGTTTCCCTGTGAGAAGTACGGCAACAGGTAACTTAGTGCACTAATGATGTCACTTTCATCGTTAATGTCTACCTGCTCTTTCATAAAGCCTGAGGAGTCGATACTGCCTTTCTCTGAAGATGACTTTTCAGAGCCAATAGTCAGCTCGGTGCTGGTGCTCATCTTCCGGGCTTCTAACACCTTCATGAAGGTGCCCCCAGGGTTCCCAATGGACGCTTCTCCCACTGTCAGAGAAGAAGAAACTGCTCTCAATCAGGGGACACTGATAGCCAGAGAGCTTTTTGTCAGCCCACAGCTATACATGCCAGTCCAATAAGCTAGAGATCAGTCGATATTTGGCTGCCATTTAGAAGGGACAAAAAAGCACCCCAACTTAAACCTATGAAAAGCACAACACTAAAAGACCTGTCTTGCTGAAGTGCTCCCTACTCGGGACATTGCATAGTGGGAAATACAGCAACTTAACTTAGGACAGCCAATGGATTGGTACTCAATAAAAGGCCAAATACTGACAAATATTGGCCCACACAGCAAGCCCTCTGCCGGCCTTCCATGTTGCTCGGGATGCCGTATACCACACCGCCTCACTGTAGCCACAGGGGGAGCACAAGGCTTCCTCACTCCACCTCTCCAGTGTGCCATGTTCTTGCTGCCGTCACAGATGACCACAATGAAGGACAGTCCTCCGAGGACGGGGAGGCAGACGTGCAAAAGCAGAGCTCCCAGCCCTTCTGCTAACAGGCCCTCATCAGCATATGTTCTCTCTACCTATTCACCACCCAGTGCCTTCACTTGGTTGGTCCCTGCTCCCAAATAGCCAGGCCCAGTGATGGAGAACTTTTAGAGACTGGGTGCCAAATTGCAATCCCAAACCCACTTACCGGCAAACTGCCAACATTGCAATTAAACCTGAGTACTGAGGTTTTAGTTTAGAAGAAACAAGTCTAATTAAAATATTTTGCCTTAAAAGGAAAACACAACTCAGGTGTCATAGGTTCGCCACACTGTACCAGCCCCATAACAAAAGGCTCTACACAGAACCAAATACTATTCTGCCCTGGTTCTCTCCTTAGATTTGGGCGGGGATTTGGGTTGTAGGCTAGGAGGTTTTTATTTTGCCTGGTTGTATGCCTGTGTGGAATGAAGTGCAATAAATCTGCAGAATAACAGCAATTTCTGGGTCAATATTGCTTGAGGTCCTAATGTACAGGAAAAAAGCTGTTTCTATCAGATCCTGCCCTACTTTCATTTCTGTCTAATTTTCTAATCATCCAAAGCTTCTGATGGTGTGAAAGTCAAGTGCCCATTGTGCTGGTGGTGGTGGTGAGGGCAGGAGCAGGAGGTAAGGATCAGGAGGAAAGAGGAACATGGGCTTGTGGAGAGCCCAGAACTGGGGACAGAGACGCGGGCATGAGGCTGTAGCACTTGACAGCTCTTATCTTGTTTTTCTCATCTGCAAAAGGAGGCCAGAAATTCTTATTTTTCTTACCTCTGAGGGAAGAATGAATGATGTAATTGGTGAAAAATTGTTATGAAAACCAAGCAACACTGCTTCTGCATACAGAGCAGAGTGCTATTACTTACTGTTTGCACGCATTGTGGATAGAGACCTATATTCAAGCTGTCTGGACGTGAAAGCACTCAGTTCGCAGGCATGAACTAAGAGCCAAAAAAACCTGATATGCAGAAAAGCGCTTCAATGCACCTGAGCCATGTGAGATTTGGAACAAGTTCAGGGTTGGACAGTCTAGGCATGGAAGAACCTGTATTCCCTTAGAAGGGACAGGCAGCACTTTCTGGTTATGCAATCAGAAACTCTCAGGCACCAAATAAAATAGCATTACTTACACTCTTATACAATTGCAAAGACAAGACAAAACCAATCTATACCTGTGCTGAGGTTGAAGAAACTTGAGAAATGATGTACACAGAAGCAGCTTACAAACTGCGGTGCACTTTATGAACTCAGTTATCACTGGAAGGCAAAGCACCAAGCAGGGGGCACAGGCCATGAACGGTGTTCCCTCCCTTCCATCCCTTCCTCTGGGTCCCTGTGCATTGGCACAGTTATGTCAGGATCCATGCAGCACTAACCGAGAACCTGTCAGCAGGGGAGCACTTCAGAAATTTAGGGAGTTTAACTCTGATGAATGAATAAAAGTAAAAGCACAGGCCAAACGGTGTTCCCTCCCTTCCATCCCTTCCTCTGGGTCCCTGTGCATTGGCACAGTTATGTCAGGATCCATGCAGCACTAACCGAGAACCTGTCAGCAGGGGAGCACTTCAGAAATTTAGGGAGTTTAACTCTGAGAAATGAATAAAAGTAAAGCAATTTTATCATTTGTTTAAAATGTTATTGGGCTGGGGATTTAGCTCAGTGGCACTGTGCCTGCCTCGCAAGTGCAAGGTCTTGAGTTCGATCCCCGATACCGGAAAAAAAAAAAACATTTTGTCAAAAACTTATCATCACCAGTTAAAAATTAGAAAGCAAATAAAACAAAAATGAACACATTTATCATCAGGCAGATGAGACTCACGACACTGCGTGGCACTGATCAGACACGTCCTCTCACAGTGCAGCTTGACTGTCTTGAAGACAACCTCAATTTCATTTTTAAATCGGCAGAGGCAGCAGACCAGATGGCTCGGTAAGATCCTGTAGGCAGAAACACGGAGAGCTGAGTTCCTAGGCAGGTCAAGGTCCTCACGGGGCTGAAAGGAGTTTGAGGCGAGGTCTGAGCAGCTGGGTAGGAACCCAAGAACAATCGCTGCTTTGGAATATTGTTAGTACACAGGAAGGAGGAGGGAGGCGCCCCCAGAAGGGTAAGCACAGCAGTGCATGTGGCAGGCCTACAACAAAGGCAGCAGAGATGAGCACTGATGGGTGACAGTAATCTGTAGTTTTGTTCAGAAGCGTCTCCCTTCAACTCCAGAGTGTCACTCTGGGCTGGGAGTGCACAGGAAGAAGGCCGACTTCTAAGAAGAGTCTGAATCAGCCTCCAATGTCTGGAGTCCCTTTCCCAATTCCTGTTAGGAGTGGTAAATGTTACGCCTTACTCTGGGCAAAAAAACCAGTTCATTCCTACCACATCGTGTGGTTAACACAGATCCCACTGGCCACATGTAGGCCACTGGAGCAAAGGGATGAGGAGGACTGCGTGGGGGCGGCAGAGAGCTCGCCTAGCGTGCTCAAGGCCTGGGTTTGATCCCTAGTGTCACAGAATACAGAAAGGGAAGGAGGGAGGGAGGGAGGAGCGACAGCACAATGTGAAGAGGAGTCCACGAATTCACAACGACCCTCTGGAAGGGAGGGCGTCTAGCTGACACCGGAGGGAAGGGAGCAGACGCTGCAGGAAGTTCAGGAAGATGAGCCTTTAGCAGAAAGCAAGGGGTGTACAGCGTGGGCCAGTTAAGTCGAGGAGGGACCTGGTGAAAACAAGTGGAGCAGAGTGCTACGTGAAGGGTCTTCTGCAACCCCTCAACTACTTTACCGCACCAGCAAGTTTCTAGTTAGCCTGCCATGGAGGAGGGTGGCACAATTCAAGTTGCAGCCAATGGTATAAAAGCCACTGCAGCTGGGCATGGTGGCACATGCCTGTAATCTTAGCACTTGGGAGGCTGAGGCAGGAGGATCACTGTGAGTTCGAGGACAGCCTGGG